TGAAAGCACCGGAAGTTGAGCAGTTGGTGTCTTCCTGTTTAATGAGTAAACACTGGCTGTTTCTCAATTCACGAGAACGCGAGTATGTACTCGCGTTCTCGTAAAACAATGACAGCGCAATTGTCGCTGTACGATCCGAAGCCACATTTGGAGCTTTTAAACAGGCTTTTGAAAAACTTTAATAACTTGCTGCTGTAATATTAAAGATTTTTTTTAGAATAAAAAACTAGCAGATGTGCATAATCAAAAAATAACAGAAATACAATTATAGAGTATTCAGTATTGTAAGAAAGCCCACACTGTTTCTGAATAAATACATGATTGTATGAGTTAAGTTCTGTTCCGTTTATGTCTCTTTCCTTGTAAGTGTGAAATGTCCCATGCTCCTGAATGCACCATAGCTGTCTGACGCTCGCGAATGCATCACACTGGTGTGTGTAGATGCGCGTTTGATTTTCAGTTAAAGACAAAGCTTTGTATTATTAAAACCCACGTCGGATAATCACTGTTTATTGTTGTGTGTGAATAACAAGAGACTACAACAAATACATCAGCTTTACCTCGGACAAAATCTTTGGATTTAAAGATGTTCATAACATTGCAGTCCGCTAATCTGTGACCTCTGCTTTAAACGGAAGCCAAGAGTAACGAGTAACGTTTGTTTTAAAAATGTAATGAATAGAAAGTAAAGATACTTGTGTGAAAATGTAATGAGTAGAAGTCAAAAGTAGGAGGAAAAATAAGTAATGGAGTAAAGTATAGATACCTAAAAAGTGACGAAGTAACGAAGTATTTGTACTTCGTTACTTGACACCTCTGCACGAGCACACGAGAACGCTCAAGAACGCATATTGAGAAACAGCCACTGCATAGCTGAATCTGTTCTCCCTGTGCTGCGTTTTTGGCCAGTACAGCATGTAATTTGATGTGAATGGTGTATTTCGTTTATGTACATATAGTACTATGTTTCATGTTGTGTTTGGAGGTTTATTGCAAGAAAGATCACCGAGAAGAGAAGTTTAAAAAGATGCTAGCATATGCGCTAACTAGCCGCTAGCATGCGCACTAACTAGCCGTTAGTGACGCCGCTAGCTAGCGGCTAATGTTAACATGTTGTTTGTGTCATTATGTGTTTCTGTACATATTCAGGGAATATGTTGAGTTTATTATTTAGGAGAATTGTGCCTGTTTATTTGGAATTGTGCCTGTTTACACAAAGACTTATGCACATTATTTCTTTGTTGCAGTTTTACCATTCAGTCATCCATCCCTACCAGCCAATAAAGCCAAAGAAAAGGCTCACGGTGTGGTTATTGGAAATGATGGTTATCTACCTTCTAAGCTAAGAGTGAGGGCAGGACATAAATAATTTTTTTGTCGCTAATGGTCACTAAAATGTTTTAAGCTCAACATGTCCAGTATTAAAATTCAAAACCTTTATTCACAAATATGCTCTGTTTTTTTGTGAAGTGGAACCAGCTAATCCTGTTCGCGTATGCAAATTAGCCATGCGCTTTTCCGCAGTTAAATAACACAGGCAACGCGGAACAGATTGCGTGAAGACAGCAGGTCTTCACTCCTGTTTGTGGACCTCAAGGGACCTCCTCTGGACAAATTCGACCCATTTCCATTCGTCAGAAGCTGGATTAAAGCAGGACATGTGGGTGCATGAAAGAGAGAGACAGACAGACAGACAGTCTTTGTTCATGTGTGTTTTCAGAGACTGTCTATTCAGGCTCTTGCCCGCTCCACTCAGATTCACAGAAAGCTTCATCCACCAAGCTGTCAGGAAGCTGAGCCCACCTAAAAAAAAAAAAATCACTCCAGACAAACTGTCTCCTGCACTACTATTAATACTATATTTATTTACTGTTCTTTTGCACTGTTACTGTTACAAATGCTATATCTTACATAATTGGTAATAATAATAATATTTCTGCTGCCATTACCATCTGCTTTTTTGCACTAGCATAAGTATTGCATATTTTATATTATTGTACATTTTATATTTTATTGTGAAATTGAATATTTAAATTTCAGTATTAGGAACTGATCTTATCTGTTGTGCCTGTGCACTTTATCTGTTTCACTGTTGGTGAATGAGAAACAAACGTCCTCTCCAGTCCTTGTATGTCTGGTGAATCTGAAGAATTTACATTAAAGCTGACTTTGACTTTGAAATGTTATAGGCCTACTGCATATTGAGAAAATTTAGATCGGTATTGCGCAACAATCGGGAGATGGGGACCCACCCAAATTTTGACAGGTATTTCGCACACTGGTGAATAGGTAAGTAAATAGGCAGTCAATGGTAGGACCAGCATGCAAATGACTTGATCATTTCTAATAATTTGGCTTTGGACTTTTCTATGTTTTTAAAAACTAACAATGCATCAGCTACAAATAATGCATAACGGTGTTGTTGATGCCCAGTTGTTATGCCTGTTTCATTCTAGTGAGTTCTTATGGTTATTGCTAATGGTTAAATAGCTTTAATAAACAGCAAAGGAGGAAAAGCATCCCCTTAACTGAATCCTTTTTTGTTTTGATATATATATTTTTTTAGAAATATTACAATCACTCTAAACTTGACTATGATAGAAATTTCCATTTGATAAATTATTCACCTAAAACCACAACACTTAAAAACCTCAAACAGAAATAAATGCTCCACTCTGTAAATGTCTTATTCAGCATCTGATGACAGTAGAACCACTGAATCCATTTCCTGTTTTTATATTCATCATATTTAGAAGTCTAACATTATGAAAATTTATAAAATGTTTGTCTTAAAGGATCAAATTTGTTAATTTGATAGAGAATACAATAATATTTTATACCACTCTTTAAGTTGGGGTTGCTGTCAGTAGATAAAAAAAATAAATGAGTTTGTTTTTAATACTTTGTGAACTCAGCTGATTTCATGATTTCTATGATGGATGTGTTTCAAATAAGGAGACTGGATTTAGTTCAATATAAAAAAAAAAAAAAAAAGAATGCTGCCATCTACTGGCCACTCAGCATTACTACATAAACTCCAAGACAAAAAGCTCAGACTTTTTATTTGACTGACTGAGCTTTCCAGGTACTTCACTGCTCCTGGATTCAAAGGAAAAATCAAGAGAGCATTTTAGAACTAAGGCTAACACAGCATTTCTTTTAAAACAGACATTAAAGAAGGATTCAAATTAATTCCCATTATCAACTAAAAAAAAATCAAATAAGTTTAAAACCCTAATTGCAAACTCTAATATAAACCAACAAGGGAAGGATTTTTAATGCAATCTAAAGTAAAAAAAAATCGAATGACGTAGAAGTTGTTAGATCAGGTCGAGTGATTATTTAGAAAACATTTTTATTTAACTTCCACTAATGTATTAATATGAGCGGAGCTTCATTCCCAAGGACCTCATGGAAATCTGGTCTGTTTTTAGTGATTTATTTGGAAAATAAGATGTTTGAATTCATGTTCTTGTTGTTTATTGTGATCAGCAGAGATTGACTTTTAAATGTTTTTGACATCTATTAATTTTCATCCTCCCCTCTGTGCAAACCTATACATTTTTTCTGGAAGCGCCACTGATGAACAACGACCCCCAACCTGTTTAGTATGGTTTGTTACAGAGTGCAATTAGAGTTTGATTTTGGCTCCACTAATTTGAGTTGTTTTATGCTTTCCTGTCCTTTTTATAGAGCTAACTGGCCGCCTCTAACAACATTTTCTGGAACTGATGAAAAACAACCACAAACTTTATAGACCTAATTTGTTCAGACGCTGCAAGATGACCAGAACAATTGTTCTGTTTACATGAGAAACAATAATAACCACAAATATGCTAAAGAGCTGCACTATAGTAATATTAAAACTCTTGCTCAAGTTTACTTCAGTTTGTTTATTTATAAAGAACCAATTTACAAACACTTATTTCAAGAAAAATGAACACAAATCAAACCTTTATTATAGTAATAATAAATAACAGATGAAGATAGAATGACAGGAATCCTTCAACAGAACCAGACCCAGTAGGCAGGATTTGATATAATTCAGTCTTTTAAAAATAAAAACAAGTCACAGCTAATATGATATCAAGGCAATTTACATGAGAGCTTTAAAACAGAAACATGTAACAGAATTCAACACAAACACAGAATGAATTTCAATAATAAACGTCAAATTAGATCCTATTTACATAATGAAAATAAATTCAGTGTATTATGGCGTTTAAAGAAACATATTCAATCCAGGGAAGCTCAGCCAATCTTCCATCAGTCCCTCCTCCTGAGCAATGAAGTGGTGACAGTAGAGAGGAAAACTAGCTTCAAGCAGGAAGGATCCTCCAGCAGAACCCGGCTCCATGTCAGCGCCCATCTACTGCAGCCGAGCGAGTCTTTAACAGGACAGCAGACGTCCAACAGACACAGAGGAGCCGGTCCAAGGAGCAGCTGACCATCTCTGGAAAAGAAGAACAGGAGTTAGTGAGAGAACACGCTGGTCTGTGACATTTAACACAGAAGCACTGAGAGAGGTGGAACTTTAACCAAGAGAAGAGGAAAACACACAGGGAGAAGCTAAAGCTAACAGCAGTGATAACTGTAGACAATGGATGCTTGGAGAAAATGCCTGAAAATGCTGCGTTTGTTGGAGTCTACAGTTGGTTTCATCAGGGTCGTTTCTCTGCTTTAATAAGTTCTAAAAACCCTTCAGAGATCAACCAGGGGGAAATTCTCCCATATTGGATCAGAAGCTGCTTCTGAACTGTTTATCTGTGGTCTAATGGAAAAGTCAGAACTTCTGCTTCTGGTAAAGTTTTGGTAAAACAGATGAAAATTTAGATGAACATCCATTCATGATGGAAAGATAAGGATTAAAGGTTAGACCACCTTGATGGGATGGTTTGAATCTATTTGTTCTGGATCTGTTTTTATTGTCATCACCACTACTGATGAACATCTGGAAGCAATAAAGGTTCTTTACCTTCTTTCTGGGTGGAGCACACTGATGGTTTAGCTGCGGGCTCGTGGACGTTTTTCATTCCAGGACTCCAGAATGTTGGAGAGACGAGCAGAGGAGCCATGTTTCTCCTCCTTGGTGGTCTGTGTTCTCCATCCTCTGCTTCAGCTCCTTCATCAATGAAAGCAAAGCGTCGTCAGAGTCTGAAACTGTCTGCATGTGATTCCTCTCTAGTCAAACAACCAACATACCTTCAAACACGTGTGGATGGAGTCTGTTCCACGGAGATCCGACTGCTAGAACGCTGCTTCCATATTCAACCTTCTTTCCCTGTAAAAAAAAAAAGACACTAAGTTAATCTACAGAATTTTAAAGTGAAGTTTTCTGTTGTCGTGTTAATAAAGGCTTACTCCAGGTGTTTTCCTCTGTGCCGTCCTCAGGTGGGGACTGGGAGGCTCCTCAGCATCCTGGAGGTCCCGGTTCCTCACAGGAGTTCTGCTTTTGGACGTCCACAGTGTCTGAACATAAATGAAAAACTAAGTGAGGCCTCCTGAAATGTTGACTTTCTATTTAAATGATGGATCATTGTTGCTCCTTACTGAACATGCTCTCACTGTTTACTGCTCCTCTGGTTTGGTCGCCGTAGATCTCATCAGCATCTTCTGACGGCCCAAAGCTTGTAGCGGCTCGGTCCGACATGGGATTCAAAAAACACAGAAGAGATCCACTGTGGTCAGAACTGGCCTAGATCATATGGAGAGTATGTCTGCAGAGGGTTCTTTCACCAACTGACCAGAGGAACATCTAGAACTAGATCAAGTCACAGCTGAAAGCGGGTTCTAACAATCGGCGTCACTCACAACCCACATCCTTCCATCAGTCCTGTCCTCTGCCTCAAACTGCTCTGAAATCAATTAGACCCTCCAAGCATCGTCTTTACCTTCTCACCATCATCCCAGAGACCAGTTCCACTGATGACCTTAACAAGCTGTGTCACTGTTCTATTCTAGATCCAGTTGGTCTCCAGCAGCATTAGGTTTTCCTCATCTCCACTTTTACACTGCAAAAACGATCTGAAATTAAGAAAAAATATCTTAAATCAAGTGTATTTACCCTTAATTTGAGCAGGTAAATAAGATAGTTTGCCAATGGAATGAGTATTTTTACATTTAAAATAAGATAATTAGATAATATGCACTTGAAATAAGACAATGCAATAGTTTTTTTCTTATTTCAAATTAGGGCTGCAACAACGAATCGATAAAATCTATAAAAATCGACGTTTAAAAGCGTTGGCAACGAATTTAATCATCGATTAGTTGTGTCGCGCGATTAATGCGTCATCCGCCGCCGCCGTCATCCCGGGGAAGAAAAAAAAATATGGCGGAGCGAGTCAGCGCCGCAGTTGCAGTGTTGCCAACTCAGCGACTTTTCAGACCCCTCCAGCGACTATTTTTTTTAAAAAGCGACTAGCGACAAATCTGGCGACTTTTTACGGTGTCACTGGCGGCTTTTGGAGACTCTTACGTGAAAGCATGTATCGTTCCTACTCTTGTCCTCCAGCGGCAGCTGCTGCCGTGGGGCGCCTCCCCCATCCCAACGCCTTTCTCTCTCTCCCACAGGAATCCCTCTCAGCGCTGCAGTCCGAGCCGCAGGATTTTAGTGAGGAGTTTACCCTCAGCGTCCAGACTGCAAATGAAGCGCGCATGCCCCGGGATTGACGGCGCAAATTGATCACAATAATTAAAATAGCCTGCGCTTTGTAAAGTGAAAAAGTCGTAACATGCAACTTTTGTAAAAAACAAATGAACATGGCACGGAAGCACCACTGTTATGACGCAGCACCTGAAAAGAAAACACGTTGGAGCCTTCAATGGCAGTGAAGAGAGCTCATCAGCAGGATGAGTAACCATGTTTGTTTCATTTTAAAGTGGGGAAACGTAAGTTAGTTTCTCAGATAGCTCATCTGATGCTTTCCTTAGCTTGTTAGTAGGTTACAGACAGTGATAAGGTTGGCTTCTTATTTTACTTTTAATTTCATTTGAATTAGCTTAAGCAGCGTTTATATTTTCTTTATAAATAAATAAATTTGCAAATTATGAGGGCAAGGCTTTTAAAGTTTAAATCTTCTGGCAAAGAAAGTAAAGAAGATCCTGCAATTTATGGAAGTAAAGCAGAATAAAATCCAGCAAGATCAGTAATATGTCAATTAATTATATTTGCCACATTCCCATGTAAATATCTGTCTTTGGAGGATGTGTTTTTTTAACACCCCTAGTTCTCTCATTTTTATTCCAAATACAATTTATAATTTGAATCACAGGGCTATTTTTATCTCTATGGTTAAGTATTTTCTTAAGTAGCAACTTTAACTGCTATACTTTCCTGTCTTAAAAGGCAGAACTCTTCTAGTCTAAAAAAAACTCATTTGTTGAAATGGGGGGGCCTATTGTTTGAACCCCTTAGGGGCTTTAAAAAACAAAAATGTCTTTTTTTGTGCTTTATGAAACAAAGTACCCTATATTTTGTGGATGTACAGCTACATTTCTCATGTAAGTTTGCATAGTTTTAACACAAACATTTATTTTTCATATAGCACCAGTACAGTTAATGAGAAACCTGTACTTGTGTGCTTGTTTGTTCTGTCTAAAATGTTTATTTTGGAATAAAGAGGTTAATATAAAAAAAATATTTTGTGTCCGATTCATCGATTAATCGAAAAAATAATCGTCCGATTCATCGATTTTCAAAATAATCGTTAGTTGCAGCCCTATTTCAAATGTAAATTGTCTTGTTCCATTGGCAAAATGTCTCACTTACTTACTCAATTCAAGAAAAAATGAACTTATTTTAAGAACAAATGACTTTAGATTTACATTTTTTGCAGTGTAGACCTTTAGATTCTTAGTTTGACTTTCTGTGTTTTTGTCCTCAGCAGCGATGTCTCACTCCTTAGAGGTTTTGATGTGTCCTCAGCAGTGATGTCTCACTCCTTAGAGGTTTTGATGTGTCCCCAGCAGCGATGTCTCACTCCTTAGAGGTTTTGATGTGTCCTCAGCAGTGATGTCTCACTCCTTAGAGGTTTTGATGTGTCCCCAGCAGCGATGTCTCACTCCTTAGAAGTTTTGATGTGTCCTCAGCAGCGATGTCTCACTCCTTAGAGGTTTTGATGTGTCCCCAGCAGCGATGTCTCACTCCTTAGAAGTTTTGATGTGTCCCCAGCAGCGATGTCTCACTCCTTAGAGGTTTTGATGTGTCCCCAGCAGCGATGTCTCACTCCTTAGAGGTTTTGATGTGTCCCCAGCAGCGACGTCTCACTCCTTAGAGGTTTTGATGTGTCCTCAGCAGTGATGTCTCACTCCTTAGAGGTTTTGATGTGTCCCCAGCAGTGATGTCTCACTCCTTAGAGGTTTTGATGTGTCCCCAGCAGCGATGTCTCACTCCTTAGAGGTTTTGATGTGTCCCCAGCAGCGATGTCTCACTCCTTAGAGGTTTTGATGTGTCCCCAGCAGCGATGTCTCACTCCTTAGAGGTTTTGATGTGTCCCCAGCAGCGATGTCTCACTCCTTAGAGGTTTTGATGTGTCCCCAGCAGCGATGTCTCACTCCTTAGAGGTTTTGATGTGTCCCCAGCAGCGATGTCTCACTCCTTAGAGGTTTTGATGTGTCCCCAGCAGCGATGTCCAGCTGTTGCCTCAGTTTGATTTGCCTCCTTGTGCATCGCCTGTTTTCAACCAGGATTTATGTTTTTGTCCTTTTATTTATGTTTTCCATTTGCCTCCATTCTGTTTTTGTTCTTGTCAAACCTCGTTCTTAAATCAACCCTTGGATTGTTTGGTTTGCCTTCTGTTACCTAGGAGACGGTCCGGCTCTGTCATTAGACGTAGAGCATGTTAGATTATTTCTGCTTTAACCAGCTCTCATGTTTCACAGCTTTTATAAATTGTAGCACGTCTCCAGTCTCTGCTCTGATGTCTGTGCTGGAGGAAAATTCTTAAGATCTAAAACTTAAAACAAAATCTAGCAGCGGGGTAAAGAAAAGCCACGGTGCTAGACGCTACCTGAGGCATCCCTAGACCTGCCAGATATAAAACCAATCATAAATAATATCTACATATGATCTTTCACCCTTTCCACCTCCAATCAACATCAAATCACCAAGAAAATCCATCTAACTCCTTCTGCAAGATGATCCAAAGCAAGATGGTCAAATGTTTGGTTCTTCTGCTTAAGCCTCAGCTTCTCTTCATTGTGAGAAGCTGCTGAAGGAGTTAAAGGAAGGTTCTTGATGAAATTCCTATTCCCTCCCACGACAAAACATCTTGGCAGGGGGCTCCTCTTCATCTTCGTCTTCCTCTCTTGTCCTCTTCCTGGAAACAGAGCCGATCCCTGGAGGTTGGTGTTCTTCTTCGCCCTGTGGTGGAAGGTGGTCATCGTCTTCATCGTCGTCTTCTGTCTCAGAGCTATCGCAGAGACCATACATGGAGCCTTCACTAGACCCATCAAGAGACTCACCATTAAAAGGCCAACCAACCTCATGATAATCCTCTATCCTGTCATCCACCGAAAACCCAGATACAATCTCTGCACCATCCGCAGTAAAATCTTCCTCATAGTCATTGGAAGACAGTTCTATCCTTATCAAAAAAGGGAAATCAACCTGATCCGTCATCAAGATGCAGAGCTCCAGGGGAGGATCAGATGGAAGCGGGGCGTCTGGAACAATGGGGAAAAAAATCATTAGACCAGGAACATTAATTAAGGAACATTAAATCACAAAACTCAATGCTTTATTTTAGGTTGCTGGCTGTGCCTGTGTGAGTTAGTCAGGTTTAAGTAGCTTTAATAAAAAAGAACATCAATCTGTGAGCTAAAACTAATTAAAAAAAACATCAAATCAATGCTAGTGGTTTGGTTAGTGTTAAAAGAAAAGTTTAAATCGTTCTAAAAAAACACATACATACAAAAATACACACAAGTATTTATATATATCTGTGTATATGATCCTCAGCATCAGTGGGAGGAGCATTTTTCTGATTTCACCGTCACAATGAGGAGTGATCGTTGTAAAGGGAGGACATTTTGCTGCTCCTCACCACCTATTTTTGCTGACGGCTAATTTAAGAACAAAAAAACTACAATATCCTTTAAATCACAAGACCAACATTAAATTGTTAATTTATTTTAAATTCAAATCTTTGTTTTACTGGTTAATGGGGTTTAGATTTTTATTTCAGGATGTTAACAATAAATAAATTCTCTCTAAATGGTCCATTTATTTTATTTCGATGACGCTCCCTACAGTTACACTAAACTCCCACTAGGTGGCACGCGTCCCCCTTTGGGAGCTGCTGACCCAGACTATTCATTCGGATTGGTTCAGATTAAAGGACGTTTTAAACTGTAAACAAAACCTTTTTTTATTCTTTATCGGGAAAAAAAAAACATTTTGACTGAGTGATTTGGTAATATAATCATGAATCTTTGAGGTTAATTAACTATAAGCAGAAAATTGTCCTGATTAACAGAAATAAAGGCTTAAAAACATCAGGCTTTAAATTTCAGATCTATAATTTCTCAGAATCAGAACCTCAGCTTATCAGACCCCTTCCTCAATGCATCCTAGAGTAGAAATAAAGACTTTTATTAACACATAGAAAGCCCAGAGCAGAAATGGAAATTAGCAAACTATTTAGAAGAATTTTGTTCTTTTTCTAAAACCTCTAAGAAAGGGTCCTATACAGAACTTTTAATGGTTTAGGCGAAACCCTCCAGTGTTGAATGTTTTGAAGATCTAGAAAATGAGTCCTCAATGAACAAATTGTATTAATTAAAAATTAAGAATGAGCTCAAAAATATGTTAAAATAATAAATTGTTCTAAATTGATGTTTTAATTCTATCTTCTCCCTGTAAACATAAACATATCATCCTCCTTTCTA